TGGGGGGGGGGGGGTTGTACACTTGTGATCGCTTGTAGTGGCAAAAGAAAGTCTCCTCTTTCGATTCGCACCGTATTAATATTTCATGCTACCGTCAAAGATAGTTGCGCAGTCGATTTACGTGATATGTATTATTCCAAGATATCAGGGCGAAGGGAGATCGAAACACAGTTGATACTCTCAAGATATACGTATTTATGTGCGTATGCATAACATCACACTCATATATTAATAATTCAGGAGACTTTAGACACAATATGTACATACGACATACATGTACGACATATCAATATATTTCATTTTTATCATATTTTTACCGTATCATATATGTATATATGTATATAATTATTATTATTTTTATTATTAAAGAAGTTATATATTTTATAATTTTTTTATAGTATATCGATACTGATACAGAAAATATATTNNNNATATATATATATATATATACATACATTTATTTACAAAATATTTGGTTGCTTATAATTTCGAATTTATACTATTGTGTTGTATCTATTGTACCGTATACAGTATATATTATATTATATATCAAAATTTAAAAAGGTCCGATCAAAGCTTATATCGTCGATTTGATGGCACGATATCGATTCTTTTCTCTAATCGCTCTTAAAAGTGCATCAGAACTGAAAGTTTTGTAATTATCTTCAGCTATCATCTTCCTTGAGTTTCCAATGTGTCAAATTGTCTGCTACCCAAAAATGTTTACCTTTTCTCTTATCCGCATATTGTCATTTTAATTTTTTTTTGCATAGATTTTTATAGTTACAATTGTTACATAACTTCAAAATGTATCGGATTGAAGCGCAACGCGCGAAGATAATAATTACATATATCGATAAAACATCGAAGAAAACACGTTTTTCATATTGAGTTGCATTATCTACTCAGTGCATGTCAATATTTACATACGTGCAATCGTCATTGGAGATAAACAAATGTAAACATGTTACATTGCCGCTAACTTTTTACATTTTAATTTTAGCCTTCAACTAGATAACTAGAATATGAATGCGTATTTCGAGGTGTCAAAAATTAATTAAACATAAACCCAATTCGACGACGACATGTATCATCATGTCGTAATACAAATAGATCGCTTTTATTTTTTCTGTTTGCAAACACCAAGTTTCTATTTATTTTTAAAAATATTTAAATTTTTATAATTCTGTTTTTCATATAACTGTAGATTTATTTAAGTTTTATTTAAGTTTCTCTTAAATGCAATCGGTGTGTTATCAGTTATCACTGATGTGAGATAAGTAGTGCTTTCATTTATAATATAGATTTACAAACAGTGAAATCTCATTGAAGAGAAGAAACAATTAGCGATAGTGGCTGATTTTTATAAAAAAATCTTAAATGCCATAATAAGTAAAACATAAGACAAAAAAGCAAAGTATCAATGCTTTCACTTTAATCAATGATATTTCCATTTTTTTAAAATTTGTTTTTTATTCAAATTTTACTTCTATTTGAACAAATTTAATTATTTTATATCTATGTTTACGTATATGTGAATGCTCGGCAGAATAAATAAAACGCGATTATTTGATCCATTAATCAAGCGACAACGTATCAGCAACAGGTTGCCTTGTCTCGATTCGCATATCACAATTGTGTAAACTCGTGTTCGCTGCATGCACATCCATTTATGCGAAGTGTGATTCGAAAAATATATCCGGCGTTTACATACGTCTTGAAAGAATAGCCAGGATTCGCTCGTGTTAATCTGTCGTGCTTAATTACTTCCTCATTAAATGTCTCATTAAACTCTATGGATAAATTTTCGGATCAAAGTTAAAAAGAAGATTTTTTTTTATTTTATTCCGCATCAAGAGCTTACATAAAACTGTACAAAATTTAATTGCACGTGCGAGATATTTGTTTTCACAAAGCAGTTCTTTTCGTATCTTACAAAGATGAGAGAAATGTCAAATTTCTTTGTTCTTTGACTATAATGTAAGTCTCTGCTTCGCTCTCACCCTGTCCGATTCTTTCCAATGCAAACGAAATAAAAACTATCGGATAGTCCAAGCACGAGCATCCGTAACGCGATTTCCCTTCTCGCTTTGAGTTTATTCATAAGATCGTATTCTTCTCAATAAGTTCTATTTATCCAACGCTCTTTCAGATCAACCTCTTTTGTAAGGCGATGCACTCTCGTGCACTATTTTTCTTACAATAGTCGACTCTTGTTTCTATCATTTCTTTTGTATTCATGAACTATTCAGTTTATACACATTCCTGCGGAATATACATATTTACAGTATGATATATGATCTAGTTTTCAAAGGTGACACAAGATGTGCGTTAAGAAATTATGTGGCATGCAAGATAATATAATATTTATAAGTTTAAACGGATACAAAATTAAAATTCACGGAAAATAATGAAAAATGTCTTATATTTGATTAAAACTTAGGAAAAAGTATTTTTTATACAACGACAAGTGTTAATTAAACTTACATCATTATCAATCATCAAAATACTTTTTTCAATAATTTGTACATAATGTAATGTTTGTATAGAAATCAATATTAATAGCATTGGTAATTATTCGTAATGCGAATATTCATCATATATCGAATCATGCGATATTCGGTTCCCGTTCAGTGAGTAATGATATATTGACATCTATGTGTAATGTTCAACAAGCTCTTATAGTTTGAGGAAATCGCTTCGGTATTCACGGATCCATAAATGCATTTATTTACGTATGATGTAATACGCATATCAAACAAGGTTGTAAGAGAATTTATAATTCATGATTTATAATTTTTGCTATTTCATTTCCTCCGGTCATTATGTCAATTTCAACTTATACATATTAATTCAAGGGTTTAGAAATATCTAATCTTTAATTTTATTTCTATTAAATGTACAAAAATAAGTTCTTCAAATAAATATTTTTTATAGAGTTGATTTCTCTCTCTCAGCACAATAAAATAATGAAGTGGATTAACAATTAGGATATAATAAAATAATTTGGGATGGTATATATAATACCTATATATATTTCCAATTGTATTAAAGCGTAGAAAGCAGCTTAAAAGGATAAATTGTTAATCGGTATGAAACGATGTGCACATGCACATTTTTTTTCTTACAGCCCAAAAATGATGAGCTCGACATTGATGATTCTCGTATCTGTTACGACCATGGCAATCTTGTCCGGCGAAACTTTTGCCGCATTACCCGCTCAATGCAATTCAGGATTTCTCGAGGAGCTACCACCCAGACTACGTAAAATCTGTGTTGCTATCGCCAGAATATGGGATGCTAGGGAGATGAACGATTTCGTCGACAACAGAGGTGATCAAACGAATTATCAATTGAATAATTTATTTTTTATATATATTATTTTTATATTTATTTTTTTACGCACATTTGGTGGCGCAAATAATTCTTTAAAGAATAGAAAATGAATCCTGTAAATTTGTAATTTATATTTTTTGTATTTATTTGCATATATTAATTTATATTATCGTATTGATTACGAAATATTTCAAATAATGCTCATATTTTATTTTCAAGTTGAAAAGATAGATTGCAACGATGAATTGGTTTCAGAATATCGAGAGAACTTACCCCGTTATGACAGCAGTGTCAAGAGGCAAGACGTCGATCATGTTTTCTTGCGCTTCGGAAAACGACGTTAAAAACGATGGCCTGCTCTGTATTCGCACAAGCGATAAACGATCTCAAGTTCTCTTTCAGTTATTCAATCACCTCGTCATCAATTCGTAGGACATTTGCCGAATGTAAAAAAAAGAAAGAATTTACAGTCACCGCATACGCGCCTAAAGATGAGATTACCTGATCCCGTTATTAACGTTAACAGCCTTTTTGATAATCTTTATTTTCGTTGTAAACAGTATTAAGGGATCAAATTGGTCTCCTCAAGCGTTCTAGTGTTGAGTCATCGTGAAAGTAAGTATGTCTTGGATTTTAAGAGTTTTTTTAGTACAATTTTATGTCCTTTCTTTGTTCGATAAAAACGGTACGTTTATAGAGGAATCTTAATTAAAGGTTTTATATTTTAACATATCTATTAACGGCCAACGTTCCATTTTTTGGAACAAAATTTTTATTATACATGAAAGATAATTAATTTTTGTAATATAAAAATAATCTTTTCCCTCTTTTAAAAACACGTTTCAGTATTTATAAAATATATAAAACGTTTCAAAATTTTTATTTCAATCTGAAATAATTTTACAAGCAAACATGTGTTAACAATATATCTTAAAAATCGAACCCTATTTTCACAAATCTATATTACTTCGCCACGAATAGAGAATGTAACTGCATTACACAATAAGTGTACTATTTTAATCTATAACGTATCTCGTGAATGTCTCGAATTTACTCGTCTATTAATTCCATGTCCTACATTAATTAGACCTTACAGTTAGATTAACATCGCCACTTTACGAATATAAAAACGTAGGAACGTTGCGCCGTATCGATTTTCGCGCGACTACTATTTCCAATTAATCACTCTCATTTTCACGCCGTTTGCCTGGTAATGACTCTCTATATGAAAATGAAGGGTATTGTATAAAGTTCACCCATTATTTATTTTATAAATCAATTATCCCACGCTTCGTAACACGATCAGTGTTGTCACTAGTGACAATTAGTTTGAAGGCGGTATAATTAAATTAGATATAAATTAAATTGACTTAATCTCGGAATATATATCAAGCAATATTTTAAATTTACATACAAGCATTCATTTGCTATTTAACTTAATTTTGTTTATTCAATCAATTTACTTTTAATTATATTTTTCTGTATAAGATGCAAAAAGTGGACACATGGCATTATTAGAGAAAATTGAGATAAATCTTTCCTTAGTAAAAAAAAATTAAAAAAGATTATCACTTTTTTTGTAACTTTTCAAGATTTAACGTTTGATATATCAAATCTCGAATAAAAATTTTTATTGAAATAAATTTCACTGTAAATTGAAAAACGAATCATTAATTATATAATTAATATAAATAATTTAATATATAATTTTACATCATTCATTTTTCTTAATAAAAATTATTTGTAAATTTAATAATGCTATGCATTCACTTTTTGAGAGACGGCATTTATTACAAAAGACGGTATTTATTGCAAAAGAAGATAGAAGGGATACGAACAAGTGTATACAGCAATTTGAATAAATAAAGATTAAATAGTGAATGAAAATATATAAGTATAAATACCTTGTATTATGTGTCCTGGAATTGAAGTAGAAGTTCTCATTCAATTTTTATTGTCAATTGATTAATTTACAGTTTTACTTGTATTAAAAGACACGTGCCGAAGCTTCGACCGGTCCCGAAAGACTGCATTATTTTCACATGTCTATATCTTTCTCTTACGAATATATTCGCATAATTATATGTATCTTAACATGGAATAAACGAAAATACGAAGATATGATGCTGATAGATATACAATATATTAATTACCCGGATAGCGCAAACCTATTCTATAAACATATCCTTTAACATTCTATATATATCCTTCAATAAATATTTTTATATGTTAATAAAGTGAAAAAAACGGTCTATGAATCTGCATAAAATTTCAAAATAAGACCGTTCTAAAAACAATGATCTAAACAGATTTATCAAATATTCTTTTAACACGAGAATATTCTACAAAGATTCATAGATAATTCTGTAAGAATATTTTCAAAATAGTATATTTGACGCTAAATAGAATCAAATAAGACAAAAAATATATTGTGCTATCAGGGTAATTACATGTGACATAAATAGTATAATTATTATAACAGGTATATACGTCTACACACACATATATATAAAGTAATTCTCTCAGAATACTTGTTGGTTATTATATTATATGTATATAATTATACCATCCCTCTTCCCATCTGTTGCGCGATGATTAGTTCTTGGCACGCGCAATAGAAGATATTTTCAGTATCCTAAATATAGTATAGAATATAGAAACAATCTTCTGTAAAATTGAAAATGTTTCCTTTGCAGCAAATATGCACTGTCCATACTAAACGGATTATTAATGCAGTAAGACTTAAAATTTTATGCAATTTTAGATATGAATATGTATTAATGTATATATGTATTCTCATGTTTACTAATTCATTAGTCAACCACTTATAGTTACTGATTACGTAATTTACGTGGATTGTCCCAACAGTTTATTACAACAAAATTGAAAAAAAGAAGAAAAAGAAAAAAATTTCGAGCGAGATTAATCCCCAACGAGACTCGATTTCCGGTGGCGATCGATAGACTAAGCTTGCGGAAATCGAGCTCTGCTTGCGAGCGAATGAGGGCGGGGATAAAAAAAGAACAAAAATATTGAGAATATCAATGAAAGCTAACTGTACGAGAGATCGGTAGATAGGTAAAAAAATCTACAAATTGAAATCATTATCATAAAAGTAGACGAGATAGTAACATTTGTCGTCTGCTATTGATTATTTCAGTGGAATAATTTGCTTCGCGATTTAGTATTACACATACACACATATCTAAGAATTGTTTTATTATCTTTCCTTTCTTCTTACACACTCATTTAATATATCGAACGCAAGAAAGAAATTTTAAGACCGGCAAACTCCGGAGATTAATGCTTCTCGTTGCCATCGTCTTAGCAATTACCTGTGTGGCAATATTTGTTTTTCTCCGATCGACTATCCTGCATTCTAAGTAGTCTTTATCGCGCGTACAGAAAAGATCCTGTATCACGTTAATTAGCCCACATGCCCATCTCTCGGTAGCCCGCGTGGGTATTTTATTCTTTATGTCGTATGTAATTTATCGCGCGATGACGATAAGGACAAACATCGCGGAACATAATACTCCGTTATGGTGCCGCAATGGGAGATTGAGAAATTAGATTAAAGGTTTATTTTTATATGTGAAATATTCAATTAATTTATTTAAAATGTTACATTTAATATATAACTTATTTTAAAAAATAACTGATTTTTAGGTATATGTATGAATTTTTAAAACTTGGATTTTTGCAAAGAAAATTATAGGAATACATATATATATTCTTTATATTTTTATTTTATTGCGCATCTTTTAGTATTTAATATATATGGTAATTAATATATATTTCTGTATGTCTTTTTTTTCAATCTGCTCCTATTTCCGTAATGATATAATTACTAAAGATTAAATATTTATTAAATGTGAAATGGCTGAGGTGCATTTTTAATACTACCAAACTTTGATATGATGTAAGGGATTAAAACGAAGAATATTCCGCACAACTCTTTATTAAAAGAACATTCTTTATATAAATAAAAACAATTTATTGTTTACTTATATTTGAGTGCGGCTAATACGATTCACTCAAAGAGATTTGTGGCACATCACGCAATATCTTCCACTTATTCTGACTAAGGTTTAATCTAAGAACGGTCGCACCGGATTAGTCGGGCTACCTTGTTTCATCTTCATTTCGTACAATATGTTTTATAACACATAAAATATATCGTAGTACACACACGATATTCCAATAAAAATTTATAAAAAAGAACAAAAAAACAAAAAGTCGCGTGTTAAAGATAGCCGAATCGAGCACCGCGCGACCAACTTAAAATAATTTATTTAATTGTTTTCACCCCACAGATTTCTATATATTATAATATATATAAGTCTGTAGTTTCCACAAATAAAGAGGCTTGTAAAATTTGAAATAAAAGACAAAAAAATATACACTTTTTAAGAACGCGACCGTTCTTGAATTAATAAAAATTCTTATATAATTGACAACCAAACTTCTCAAAGATTCTTTACAGATAATTTAATATTAATAGCAAGAAAACAAATAACGACTTTGACTAGAGTTTAATCATTCAAATATATATTTTTTTGTTCGAAGTGTTCAGTTGTGTTCAGTTTGTGTCTCATAATTATTTTCTCATCGACTAAGCATGAGATAAATATAAAATACAATTTGTATTTATCATGTTTAGACAATGTCAGATAAAAACTTTGTCTCAATACAACAAAATACAACATTTTGTTGCAATTTGGCACGTCTTAATGCATCAATTACGGCGCGAACGCATTGTTTATTCAAGATATAATAAGTACAATTTAGACTATAAGACTCTAATGTTGAACAAACATCGAAATAATTTCTTAATTATCATTCTTCTACATCATTAATTACATGCTTATTTCTAAAACATGCTATTATGTACATAATAAGTATTCACAGAATTAAATATCAGCAATAATTAAAAAAAACAAAAACACAAAAATCTGAGCACTAGCATTATATTATTAATTAGTTGTGTTCGAAGAGATTATAAAAGTTATATTAATATATTTCTTTTCAGATGTATATACTGATTTTTTTTAAATTATCCATTTTTTGTTAATACTTATTTTATATTGTGCTTTAATATAATCAGACGCATTAAAGGGATCCTCAAAGATCTGTTTTACCGATAAAAACGCGAAGAATGAGTTCAAGTACTAATCTTATTATTGGCTATACAGAATGAAAAATCCTTTTCTAGAATTAAAGTACTCATAATAACGATGTGCGGACGCTATAATTTAATGTAATAGAAAAAATAAAAGTCGAACAAATAAAAGATTATAATAATGGGAATGAAAGAATACAATATAGAACAAGCAGAAAAAGAGAGAGAGAGAGAACGAATGAGGAGTAAGCGAGGTAGCTAACATGAAAGACTTCCGAAGTTTCGCTCGCGAGGCTCGCTTTATCTATAATCTCTCGCGTTATATACAACAGTACAATACTTTATATTAAATTGATGAAATAAATTAATCGATTAAAATTATTATTATTAGCAGTATAATTATAAACAAGTAGAGTTGTGCAAATTAGAAGTTTGCCCATTGCTTCATCATCATTTTATCTTACAAAGCTTAAGCTGCTTTAAGCATGCGAATTTTTCAATTTTTGCTTTCTCATAGAGGAAGCTTTATGAGCGAAATAAAAATTAAAATGAATTCTTTCACCGATCCTCACTAAATTCAATATCAAACATCCTTTAATAATACTCTATTCATGTAAAAAAAATTTAATCCGATATCTCAAAAATTGCGGAAGTTAGAGATTTGTACAATATATTGCGTACATACATACATACACATACACACATACATACATACATACAGACATTTTTTAGGAATATGATTTTTCGACGTTTTGGAACATTCTAAACACATTTGGCATAGAAAACTCGAAAAAGAATTTTGTCACGAAAACAAAGCTTCCTCTATGAGGAAGCAATAATTTATTGGTCACGATATACCTTGTAATCATTGATGCAGAACGTGTATAACATTGATAGATAATGAGAATTCAGACAAATCGGATTGAAGTACAAATTCGCATTTTACAGTATCGCATTTGATGGCGAAAGCAACACACTGTCAACGAACTTTACCGCTGACATTAAGAAAGTTCGAGATCAAAATACGCAATCTCTGCAATAATAGCTTTTTAACATATTATTACAAACTCGAAAGAAATTTTTTACAATTTTTCCCGTTCTTTGAAAGTAATAGTATTAAACTCGCTTTAAACTTTAAATGGATAAAATTCTCGCACACTGTTAACTTTTCTGACATTCGAGCTGTCAAATTACACAATCTTTAGTGCATCTTCATTTTGATACGAAACAACACACAGAAGATAATCAGGTGACATCACTGAAAATAGGCAACTATAAAATACGATATTTTTAAATAATCAATTCTACATGTTTTTTCTAAAAGTTTGAATCTATAATTGAGCAAGATCTATTTGAAAGTCGATGATGAAAGGGTTAATATGATATAGGAAAAAGGACCCTTGACCACACATTCACATTGAAAGATTGCAAATATAAATAAGGCATTATATTTTTTCCATAATAGACAATTGCGTAACTATTGTTCTTTCTCATCAAAATTACGATAATGTTAATTTCGTTAGGTAAATGCTATAGAATGGTCTCTTTTAACTTACATGTTATAAATATTTATAAGACACAAGCCAGCAGATAGTATCGCAAAGAAATTAAGAACGTTTCTTCTTCATGTAAGTAATTGTAAATTACATTTGCGATGTCAGAGGTGAATATGTATATTTATGCTATCACTCACACATTATTTTCAGTGCTTATAAATAATGAATTTCTTTAGTATTTTAAAATAGCGCGGTGAAAATAGTCATATATAGATCTCTTATATAAATAGTTTGACATCTCTTATATTGGATGATTGCATAAGTTCGTGCCCGATTTTCATAGATGGCATTAAGTTACTGCATGGCGGAGTTCTATTGTTTTCGTGTGGTAATTGTTGCTTACACCGAATAGATGACGTTGTCTTATGTCAATTTAGCATCAGACATTGTTCAGATAAGTCCATTGGTGCATAAGAGAAATCATTAAAAATGGAGAACAAAAAGGTGCATTTGCGGCATGTAATGTTATATAAATTTCGGAAAGGCGTGAGTGTTGGGATTGCACAAAAAAATATTCAAACCGTTTATTTGGACCACGCTCCTGCTCTCCGAACAGTCAAAAAGTGGTTTGGCAGATTTCGAAATGGTGATTTCAACATGGAGGATCAAACCCGCTCTGGACGGCCTTCTGGCATTGATAATGACATTGTGCATGCCTTAGTGGAAAGAAACCCAAGGATTACAACTGAAGATATTGCTAAGAGGCTGAACATCGATAATTAAACCGCTTTTCGTCATTTAAAAAAGCTTGGATACGTTTCCAAGCTTGATACATGGGTGCCGCATCTCAATAATATTTAATTCTATTATAAGTGGTGTACATAATGTGAGGAAACTGTATAATATAT